AGCACAGTGGTGGTGAGAGGCTCCCGCCTCCTCAGCAGTGCTAAGGATGTCTGACTGCGGCTTAGGCCTGCTCCCTGCTGGCAAGTGGACATCCCCCAAGGACTCCCGGGCTGCCAGAGGGATGTCTGATTGCCAGCTTAGGCCCAATCCCCCCCAGGGAATGGGCCTAAGCCAGCAGGTGGTCATCCTCCAGGGGGTCCCAGACTGCGAGAGGGCACAGGCCAGGCTGAGGGACCCCCCTCCCGAGTGCAGAAATTTTTGTTCACTGGGTCTCTAGTCTATATATATAAGAGGCTGATATGCTAAGTGTCCCTCTGACTGTCCGAACGGTTGCTATGACGCGCACTGACCACCAGGGGGAAGATACTAAACGCAGGAGCTGTCATGAGACACACTGGCCATTTACTGAGGAATGGCACTGTGGACCTGGCACCGACAAACACTCAGCTTCCCCCAAGTGGGACACAGGCCCCGCCACCACCCCGGAGTGACACCCCACCAAATCGCTGCCAAGAACCCATGGCACAAAATGCAGTCCACAGCCTAGCCCAGCCTGGAAACAGTTGCTGTGGGCACTGGGTAATGACATCACGTAGCAATGCCCAGCTTCTTCTCTCTAGCGATGACAACTACCTGAAAGAGAAATTGGGGTGCTTCCCTGGGATGGAAAAAGTTTAGTTAAATCAGAAAGCAGGTCTAATTAAACAATTTTATTCTATATATAAGGCTAAGTTGACTCTCGCATGCGCAATACATATAAAGCTCTCACAGGCACCAATTGCACGTGTGTGTTTCAATCTGTCATTGTTGATCATGAATTTGGTTGACATTTCTATTATAGAGAAAGGGTGAATAGCGATATTAAAGTATTTCTTCTAATTAATTTCCTTTCAATGTGCATGAATCCATGCACCAGGCCACTAGTTTGATTATATATTGTCCATGGCAGCTTTTGTGGTACAATGTCAGAGTTTGAGACCTTACAGCCTTCAGAGTCTAAAATCTTCACTATCCTGCCTTTTAGAGAGTTTGGAGAACTTATAATTGCTTTGGTTAGTAGCAAGAAGCTGGGAGAAGTTGCTGTCTATACCTGCCCTGACCTCCAATTCCCACCCAGGTCCATCTTTTCACCATTTAAAGTGGAGAACCATTCAACAGAATTCCACAATATTCTTATCAGAATGAAAAATGTTGAAGTTGAAATTTATTTCTTCTGGAAAAGATAGTACAGAAAGACCATCCAACTTTACAGGAACAGCTGTGTTAACATTTGGAACAGCTGGGTCTTTTTAATGCTTTTGTTCAAATTGCAAAGCATAGCTTCTGTGCCAGTGAAACCAGATGAAATGGATCCTTGATGGGGTAAAGGCAGCCCTGCACGTGGGGATTCAGGCAGGAGAGAAAGTGGAGAGAGGCTGTGTTTCATGCTGTGCTTGGATGTATTGGTGGGCTTGCAGACGGAGTGGACAGGCTTGGGTACCTTTTACTATCAGCAGACTATTCATTTTCTCCATTACATGGTCTTTGATTAGCTTCTTAGAAGCTCTCCACTGGGATCCATTTTCAAATGGGAAGCCAGGAGTAGTTGCCTTGATACCTTGTTTTGTTTTACCCTTCTAAGCTCTTCTGGGCCATTGATTTCTTTTGAAGTAATCTTGTTTGGTTTCTGTCTATACGTGGTTCATGTTCTTCAGATAATTATCACTGTTTATAACAGTTCTCAACTCTTTAGCTTTCTCTTTAACACAGGGCCTCTTTATGTCCCAGCCACGTGGAACTTTTACTCTTTTATGGTTCCCGACTTTCTGGCCTAGTATATTGATTGCTCTCTCCTTTGAATCTCTTGTGTTCCTTGGATGTGTCTCTAAGAGCATTAGACATTTGTTTAGTGGAGAGAAATTGGTGGGCTGCAGTGAATATGGAGATGAGAGAAGGGCGAGTCCCTTTGGCAATGGGCCTAGGTCTCTTCCTTCTTATTGAGCTCTCTGTTCAGTTCCATTTTGCTTCTTCCTGCCCTTCTCTCAACCAAACTCAAGCCCGCAGTGTAGGTGCTGTCTTCCTACGGTGAGATTATAGGAATGTTCTGTGTTCCCCTGCCCACTTGTTGGTGCCTCAGGTCTCAGCCCCCTGGCCAGCCTGAGGCTGCCCTCATGATTAAGGCTGTGAAGCTGAGAAGGGGGGTTGTGGAGTCCCCCTCTTGATTGGGTGTTGTTAGATAATTCTCTGAAGGATTCGGGTGCTCTGCGATAGCCCTGTAGCCCACACATGTGCCTTGATTTAGAGACAAATTTGGAGGGAGGTAGATTTGACTTTTGGAACTTGCCTTAGCCTTTCCTGCTGTTTTTTGACCTTGAATTCTTTCCTCCTCAAGTTCAAGTCATCTAACCCCCTTTCCTGCCTCTGCCACAGATGTCTGAATGCTCAGGGTACAGCTGTGAACCCAATAGGCAGAGTCTTCATCTCTCAGGGTCTGCATTCTAGATGGAGGAGGAAGACAGCAAACAAATGAACAGAAAATATGAAGAAATACAAAGATGTTCATTTGCTTTTTATATGTGCTTTTTAAAATAGGAGTTTGCCTTGGGATGCAACTAGCAGTGATAGAGTTTGCAAGGAGCTGCCTTAACTTGAAAGGTAAGTCTGAGATTTATCTACTAACTTTTCATTTAAAATTATTCTTTTCACTTAAAATATTTTTCAGCAGTATTGGTTAATTATTGAATTCATTTCTTAATCTTCAGATGCCAATTCCACAGAATTTGAGCCAAGTGCCCGTGTTCCTGTGGTAAGTGGCTTGTTTATCTCTCTGGGTTGGGTTATTGTCATTTAAAATGAGTGTGCCTAAACTCATAAGGGCTATTATTATTATTTTTTCATTACACTATCAGGACATTTAAAATTATGTGAGCCCTGGCTGTTGCTCAGTGGTTAGAGCGTTGGCCCGAGGACTGAAGGGTTGTGTGTTCTATTCCTGGTCAAGGGCATGCATGCTCCAACCCTGGCCCTGGTTGGGGTTCAGGAGGCAACCAGTAGATGTCTCTCTCTCACATTAATGTTTCTCTCTCTCACTCTCTCCCCCTCCTTCCTCCAGTCCACTCTCTCTAAAAAAAAATTAATGGGAAAAATATCATCAGGTGAGGATTAAAAAAATTATATGTGAGATTATTATTACTGTTATTATTTTTTATTATATTGTCAGGACATTTAAAATTATATATGATTTTATTATTATTATTTTTTTACATACAACTGCTTTGTTTTCAAGAGTCCATTTTGTCAGCTATGTTTTGAAGAAAGACACAATCCTGGACTGATTTATCTTTGCAGCAGTTCAAGCTTAATGTTTAGGAAAGGATTAAATTGACTGTGACAACAATTTATAACAGCTAATATAAATAAATGGGTTGGCCTGTCCCTAGACTCATCCCTGTCTGTCTAGTTTCCACACTGGTGGTCATCTGTCTTTCTAAAACAAAAGTGACAGCTGTTCTTCCGCTGCTCCTCATTTTCCACTAATTCCCTTTCCTGTAAAATATTCAGTTCAAGGTTCTTGGCTGGGAGTGAAGGCTATTATGTTCTGTCACCTGCTGCTTTGCTAATTCAACCCATGACATCCCCTCCTTTCTACACTTGGGATTTATGTTTGGGCAATCTGAACAAATTTTTTTTGATGTATCTTGAGATTCCCTATACCTAAGATGTTCCCCTCCTGCAACCTCCCTCCCCCTAGAATCTCAATGAAACCAATGAAGAATTTCATTAAAAAAAGTAAACCATGCCCGATGACTGACAACTTACTATTCATCCTGGGAAGCCTTTCCTGACCTCCTTTCTTTCTCAGCTTCTGCCTTCTGTGCTGTGGGGCAGGAAGAAATTTTCCTCTACACTTTAATTTTTTTTCAGATGGTCTAATAATTAAGTTGACATGAGACGGAGTTACAAGAGAAAAATAATTCAATTTAATTACATACCTATGTATGGGAACCCCACATATATGAGAGAGTAAGAGTCCTGACATGTACAAGAGATTCAGAGACAGGGAAGGAAAATGAGATATGTGTGGCATCCTGAGCTAAGGATGAAGTAAGGTACCTTACGGGTTTACTTAGCATAATGATGTCTACATCTGTCTATGTTATAGCATCTATCAGTTCTTTGTTTATTTTTATTGCTGAATAATATTCCATTATATAGACATACCACATTTTATTAATAAATTCGTCCATTGATGGACATTTGTATTGTTTCCACTTTTTTTTTTACTATTATACTGCTATGAACATTGTGTACAAGTTGTTGTATGAACATATATTTTCATTTCACATGGGTATATATACCTAGGAGTGGAATTATGGATCATATGGTGACTATATGTTTAACCTTTAGAGGAATTGCCAGACTGTTTTCAAAATGACTGCAACATTTTATGTTCCCACCAGCAGTGTATGAGGGCTTCAATTTCTCTGCATCCTTAACACTTGTTATTGTCTGTCTTTTTCATTTTAGGCATTCTAGTGGGCATTAAGTTGTATCTCATTGTAGCTTTGATTTGCTCTTGCTGGATGGCTTAGATATTGAGCATCTTTTCATGTGCTTACTGACCACTTGTATATCATCTTTGTAGAAATGTCTATCCAGACTCCCTGCCCATTTTTAAGTTGGGTTATTTGTCTTTTTATTATTAAACTAGAGGCCCGGTGCACCAAAATTTGTGCACTCGGGGAGGAGGGGGGGTCCCTCAGCCCAGCCTGTGCCCTTTCGCAGTCTGGGACCCCTCAGGAGATAATGATCTGCTGGTTTAGGCCTGCTCCTGGGTGGCAGAGGGCAGGCCCAATCCCTAGGTGGAGCCAC